CTGTCTCTTTAACACACACACGCCCAAATCAGTTCACAGTTGATGTTGTTTAAAATAGTTATTTTTCATTTAAAAAAAAGTAAAAAAAATAAAATAATCTGTTCATGTTCATTTTTACAAATCTATACAATTGGCCAGAATATGGTTGTTCATATTTACAAATCTATACAATTGGCCAGAATATGGTTGTTCATTTTTACAAAGCCATACAGATAGCTGTGTTTACCTTTTCTATAAATTATTTTCAAATTCTGTTTTCAGGCAAAATGTCTATCACTGTTCATTTTCACAAATCTATACAAGAGGGCAGAATATGGAAGTCTATAAAAATTTCTTATTACCAATAACTTGCATCAATGTTTTCAGTAGCCTCTATCAAAAGCTCCTGCTTGCTTGTTGTGAATTATGCTCAGGTGCACATATTTCCAATTCAACCATGAGGCAAAAAATGTGGTAAAAGCTCTTGTTGATCCTGCAATCTGAACAAATACCAAGATGCTGTATTTTCAGCTGATATTTCATTTGTTTATGGAAATGCATATTGTTTATGCAGTGTTGAGGAATGTGAAAGAACACCCTTGATTATTTTTACTGTGATAACTTATTTTGCTTTTGTAAGCCAACACTTTGAGATCAGTCAATAAATGCTTCTGGCATTGACCTTATTATGCGCCCCTGTCTCATGGTGTTGCTGGACATATCTTTTTTATTTAAAATGTGTGTAGGTCACCTAAATCATCAGAAAACGTGACCCCCCTGAGAATTTTTTCAGGAGCCGCCACTGACTGAATCTCCTTTTGGATATTTGGTTACAATTAAGCGGGGAAATGTTAGCTACAGTGCATTTGGAAAGTATTCAGACCCCTTAACTTTTTCCACATTATGTTATGTTACAGCCTTATTCTAAAATGGATTAAATAATAATAAACTTGTCACATATCAGTTTGGAAACAATTTTTTAAAAAACACACACAAAAAACATTAATTTAGTTAATAAATCCGCATACAAACATGGTCTCTTTTTTGTTTCAGGACGGCAGGTGCTTAGTGGTTAAGAGGCGTTGTGCCAGTAACCGAAAGGTCGATGGTTCAATCCCCGAAGCGACTAGGTGAAAAATCTGTGAGTAAGGCAGCTCCAAAATGCAGGTGTTTCAGCCTAGCTCAGTGCTTTCTGTGGTGTGGGGCAGCCAGTGGAAAATACGGAGCTTAGGGGTTGGCAATGTCAGCTAGCAGTCATCATCATGAATCAAGTTGACTATCTACTGGCAAATCCTTTTTAATCCTTGTCATATGAAGATAAATCATTAAGAGAAAGTATAGATAAAACGTATCGGTGCTCATTGGCCATTGGACATAAACATTACACAACAAGTTGGAAATCGCAAATTCAACAATGAGTGGTTTGGAAGGAATCAGTGGCTAACTACAAGCATTGCAAAGCAATCACTAGCCTGCTATTCAGTGGAGTGGCTGTGTGGTCCCAAGTCTGGGTTTAAGGTTCTCTTTTCCAAGCTTAAAATGGTAAACTTTCACCATTGGCCATGCTGTCAATCCAGCATGATTTCTGCCGCGCTCAAAACAACTGTTAACTCGGAACTGGGAAATCTGACTTCAGTGAGTTCAAGACAACTGGGAACTCGGGAAAAAACGAGCTCCGACTGGGAAAATACGTTTTGAACGGTCATCCAACTCGGAATTGTAACTCAGGAACATCTCTTCTGTCTGGAAATACAACATTTAAGGCTAGATCATTTGAAATACCTAGCAGTATGTATATATGTATTAAACTAGGTCATAACACAGTATCAACATAATAATGATGATTTATTGTTTGTCATTAGGGCTATAACCTTAGATCATCATGATATATTATAGCTATTGCATAGTGCAAGGTTTATTGATAGTATTAGTAGTCTTTACCTGTGGATAGTTGCTCTTAGTTATCTTGTGTTTGATATAGCCTGAGAGCCAGGACAGCACAGTTAGTATGGGTGGTGCTGGTCCAGTTGCCCCATCTCCACTCTTCCCGTTCATCTTTCTCTTGAGCCAGACATACTGACCTCTTGAGCCAGACATACTGACCTCGTAGACTCTTCCACTTTGTCCTACATATCTGCTCTCCTACCCCCAAGGTAACAATCATTTCCTTTCAACTGTTCCCACTAAGAATTTACATTTACATTTTAGTCATTTAGCAGACGCTCTTATCCAGAGCGACTTACAGTTAGTGAATACATATATATATATATATATTTTTTTATACTGGCCCCCCGTGGGAAACGAACGCACAACCCTGGCGTTGCAAACGCCATGCTCTATCAACTGAGCTACATCCCTGCCGGCCATTCCCTCCCCTACCCTGGGCCAATTGTGCGCCGCCCATGAGTCTCCCGGTCGCGGCCGGCTGCGACAGAGCCTGGATTCGAACCAGGATCTAGTGGCACAGTTAGCACTGCGATGCAGTGCCTTAGACCACTGCGCCACTCAGGAGTATAATTTACAGACTGCAAGGTCTTCTGACTATCTTTTTTTGGTGCAGTCCTGACCGGCCTCAAGGACCATGATTTTTGGTTCTTGGTCCCCACATTGGAGGTATCATAATACCCATAAAACCTAGCGGTCAAACAGGGAAATGGTTCCAATCGTTTTCCCACCCTTAATTCTTCTCATAGGGGATTTTAGAAACACTTAAAATAAGGGCTGTGTTTTGTGTAGGCTTACCCTAGCGTGAAGTTTTGATAAGCATGTAAATCTCTCTCGGACAAGGTAACTTTTATCAATAAATTCGGCTCTATTTACTTGTAGTTTCAAAAATGCTAATTAGCATCAAAGTAGACATCATGCAAAACTACAAACCCCTGCAAGCTCCTGCACGTCATCTCTAGCTGACACCTTTGCTAACAGGTATAGAGTGAAAAAAAAACTAGCGGTCAAACAAGGAAATGGTTCCAACTTAAAATAAGGGTTGTGTTTCGCGTAGGCTTACTCTGGCGTGATGTTTTGATAACTGTGTAAATCTCTCTAGGACAATGTGACTTTTCTCAATATATTCGCCTGTATTTATCCCCCAAAAATGAAATGCTGATTAGCTGCAAATGACATGAGGATCTGGACGAGACTGCCGAATCGAGGCAAAGGTAACAATCTCTGGATTAACTAGCTAATGTTAGCTAAATGTAGTAATTAATAAATTGGCTAAATATCTTTTAATTGACAATTCTATGAACTGTCTTGTGCAAGTTTTATTAACTTCCAGTGTAATGAGAGCGACTTCATCACAGTGCTATGTCATACCTGACAGATTTCTGCCTGCTTGAACTCCAATAACTCTGATACACATGAAAACATGAAATGACCCATGAAATCGATAGAACATCACTCAGAGATGCACCAAAACAATATAACATTCAAAATGGGTGAACCTTTCCTTTAAATAGTATGTGAAATGAGTTGCTCTTATAATAACAATAAAGCATTATCTATTGTACTTTTACAGACTAGCTCTCCAATTGGGTGAATATGTCTTGAGGGCTTCCACCATGCTTCTGCCATTTTAAATTAGGCCTAGTCAAAGTAATCAACTGGGTGGGGATTCCTATGGGTTGTAGCCTCAATGGCGCTGCTGTCACAGACGCTATGATGGCACAGATATGAAGATGAGTCCTCTATCTATCTCTATGAGTGTGCCTCTTTGAAAACGCCATGGTATGTTTAGGTATCTTTACATGAAAGGTTGAGAGTGCCCTCTGCTGGAGATTTGATTGAGGGGGGAAATTATCCAAGAACTGCGTCCAATAAAAAGAAAGCGCAACAAAGTGCCATATAGTAACAGCAGACGGCGCTACTATATTTGTAATAGGAAAACCTAATTTCGCCTTGATGCGTGGCTGTATTGTACACATTTCTGACCATTTTCCAACTCTACTAATATGGAACTCAATAGGCCTATGACAAACATGAAACGTGCCGTATTGGCTATTGAGGATCATTATTGTCAGTTTGCACTTGCCCACACACTTACTTTAGTAGCCTGTAACCGTCCTTTATTGAAATGAGAGTATTCGTAAATGTACATAGGCCTATACCCTACAGGCCCAATATGCCCAACTCCAAATCCTCCATGCCAGTGTGTGGTCTATAACGATATGTTGCTATGAGTTAAAAGGAAGATTAAAATAAAGCTTCAACAGCAAATCATATTCAAGGGAGTGTGGTACTTGGAGCCCTTGTTAAGGTCAATGGCATCATGAACTTTACCAAGTACCAGGACATTTTAGCCTGGTTGCCTCTGCCAAGAGGCTGACATTTGGCCGCAAGTGGATCTTCCAGCAAGACAATAACCCCAAGCACACATCAAAATCCACAAAGAAATTGTCAATTGCCACAAAATCAACATTTTGCAATGGCCATCTCAGTCTTGGGACTTGAATCCCGTTGAAAACCTGTGGTTTGAATTAAAGAGGGCAGTCCAGTCCATATGAGCAGATGAAGGATATCAACGATCTGGAAAGATTATATTTGGAGGAATGGTCTAAGATCCCTCCCAATGTGTTTTCCAATCTCATTAAACATTTTAGAAAAAGGCTAATTGTCGCTATCATCGGAAGGGGGGGGGGGGGGGGGGGGGGGGGGGGTGCTGGGGTATTCTCTTTCTCTGAGCAATTCTATTAGTAAGCCTATAAAATAATATAATTGTCCAAATTGTTTTAGCATACAATATAGCTCAGTATTTTTATTATTTATTTTATACAGTATTTTGTGCTCATCTGTATCAAATCAAATCAAATTGTATTTGTCACATGCGCAGAATACAACAGGTGTTGGCCCTTCCCAACAATGCGAGGGAGTTAAAAAGTAAGAAAAATGGGTGCCAATAATTTTGGACCTGAGTGTATACGTTACAAAGTAAACCTTTCCATTCACATTATTTTATCTCTGTAAAATCTGTGACGCTTGGCTTTACAGCCTACTACCATGACCCCACCCATCGCTGTCTTTAGGGAGTGTTCCGGTAGGCTACTTTAAAAACGCTGCTCAAACAAAGGATACCTGCATAGGATTCCTTAACCTCCATTAAGAACCCTGTCAAAGCAACCTCATAGCCAGCAACATGGTTGAGTGGACAGACTTTGAGCGCGCCACAATCCAGAGCATCTTCTCGAAGATGGACTACGATGACGTGGGCCCCGCGGCTCTTTCCAGGTGAGCTACCTTTTATACCCTATTTGATGTCAGTGTTATGGTGCCTTAAAGACTGTTGCCTACAAATTATTGGAATTAGTCATGTTGTTATCAGATTATTTCGCTTGTTATAACGCTTTTCAAGTCGGGTTCTTATTTGACACATGCACGTAATTTTCCCGTAATGGACATCCCCAAACGACAAAATAATTGATTTGTGTAAATTGAATGTGATTCTTGACTGTTTATTATTTCTACAGGTGTCTGGTCGTGTACCCCTGGACCCAGAGGTATTTTGGTAACTTCGGAAACCTGTACAATGCCGCTGCCATCCAGGGAAACCCAATGGTCGCCGCTCACGGAAAGACCGTCCTGCACGGACTGGACCGGGCTGTCAAGAACATGGATAACATCAAGGCCACCTACGCAGAACTGAGCGTGCTGCACTCCGAGAAACTGCACGTGGATCCCGACAATTTCAGGGTAAATTAGTTCTCCTTTTCTACTTCACAAGGTCACATTCTACTTGCCTATCTATTACAATAGTGTGGCAGAATGCGTTTCTTACATGTCAATTTTATCCTTTCTTTTGCAGCTGCTGGCTGACTGCCTGACTATTGTCGTTGCTGCGAGAATGGGTGCTGACTTCACCGCTGATGTCCAGGGCGCTTTCCAGAAGTTCCTGGCCGTCGTGGTGAGCTCCCTGGGCAGACAGTACCACTAGAGCCCCTCCACTCAGAGACGGACGACTATCAGAGGACCAACAAGCGCTGATCATTTGTTTAGAGGCACATGTTGTTCCTTCTACAAAAACAAATAAAATCTTCCGCAAATGAATATTTTTTATCTGTGCCTTATTTTTCTTGCATGAACATCAATATGGTGGCACATATGGTAGACTAATGCAATATGAGCTAAGTGTGTAAATATTGCCACCTTGTTATCAGATATTGATCATGTGCGATATATACAAACATTTTGCAAATAACTAAAATATTTTCAAATTAACCACACTGACATGTTACATTAGCTGTGCACGAACGAACCAATGGATCTAATAAATACAACCTTGTGTTTGATACAATGCGTTAAAGGATATCAGGACTGCAATTATTAATTCCTGTTTAAACACACACAATCATCTAATTCATAAAAGTTCAACAGAACTTTTCATAACAGATCTGGTATTCTATGTTAGGTTAATGTATTAGTGTGGCAAGGAATTGTTGAGTGATCGAGAGTTTAAATCTAGACTCCTTAGTTTATTCATAGGTTTTTTGAATTAATAATATTTACCCATTGATTCTTAAAGAATATAACTTGTAAATGCCTCATGAGTTCAGTTCAACTGTCGTACCCCATCAGAACCCAGAATATAGGCCTGAGCTTGTTTTACGCTTTTACTCTGTTTGTAAACAAAGTAAATGTAAACAAACACAGTATATCCTCAAAACATGGTTAAAACTATAATTTTGATATCATGGATGGGCAGTCCTTGCATCCATAGCTCTGTCTATGCATTTGAGAGTGGTTACATTTCTCCAGGCCCATCCCTCAGCTTTTTACATTTACATTTTTGTCATTTAGCAGACGCTCTTATCCAGAGCGACTTGCAGTTAGTGAGTGCATACATTTTTTTTCTTCCATAATGGCCCCCCATGGGAATTGAACCCACAACCCTGGCGTTGCAAGCGCCATGCTCTACCAACTGAGCTACACGGGACCAAAACAGACCGTGACCGCTGTGTTATTGTTTCAATTAAGGATTCTAGCTTTAACCAGATCAGCATGAGATACATTTTTATTTATTAATAACAATAAATCAGTTAGTCAAAAGAACCCTATAAAATACAAAATACATTTATCAGAGGCACCTCCTGTCCTTGCCAACTTTGGAACCATGATAACTTTTTAAAAAAGTGTTCAGATAGGAATCTATTCAAGTCATAGTTAGTTAGCTACGGCGTCATAGCTAGGTATCGTGGGTAGCTACTGTGTCTTGGCAGTGTCTTCCGCCGTGCCGGCTGTAGCACGAAGCGAGCTAATTAGCCGTTTTTTCGAACAGAGTCAGAGTCAACACAGTAGCCATTGTGTGCCGGGTGTAGCACGAAGCTAGCTAGCTAGCCGTTCTTCAAACAAAGCCAACACAGTGGCCATTGCTAGCTACCCAGCACGACCAGCGAACGGTGCGGTAGTAGCTAATTACAATATACTTGTCCTAGCTAGCCAATGTTGAATCATTGCTGCGTCATGAAAGGAACTTGACACAGACACGAATGATCTGTTTAGTGTGTTATCACACTATTGGTGGTTTGCTGTGACCAAGTGTTTGTGCTTGGCTGTGTGTTACTGGATGCTGGCATGCTGGTTAGCTAGTTAACACACTATTGGTGGTTTGTTGTGAGTATTGGTGCTTAACTGTGTGTTAAAACTGTGTGTTATTGGATGCTAGCATGCTAGTCAGCTATGGTGTCATAGTTGGCTAGCTGAATAAAGTGGGTTTGAGTTTATTCCTTTAAACATTGAACAACTGTTCAGTGAAACAATTTTAGTTTCTGAGGTAGAAGTTTTTGGTGAGGGAGGCCCCCCTCTCTCCTCTCCCAGATGCTTAGCTCATTTCATTCCGATCTCCTCTGCATTTTTGTAGCCATTTGCTACAGCCTGTCAACTATGCCTCTGCCTATCCCTGTTCTCTCGTCTCTGCACAGGCTACACAAACAACGCACAACACCGCGCGGCTGCTGCCTCTCCAACCTGGTGGTCCCTGCTCGCACCCCTCACCTGGAGTTCCAGGTCGCAGGCAGCCTCTGGAACTGCCGTTCTGCTGCCAACAAAGCTGACTTCATCCCAGCCTATGCCAACCTCCAGTCCCTCGACTTCCTGGCGCTGACGGAAACATGGATCACCACTGAAAACACGGCTACTCCTACTGCTCTCTCCTCGTCTGACCATGTGTTCTCGCATACCCCGAGAGCATCTGGTCAGAGGGGTGGTGGTACAGGAATCCTCATCTCTCCCAAGTGGACATTCTCAATTTTTCCCCTAACCCATCTGTCTATCTCCTCATTTGAATTCCATGCTGTCACAGTCACTAACCCATTTAAGCTTAATATCCTTGTCATCTATCGCCCTCCAGGTTCCCTTGGAGAGTTCATCAACGAGCTGACGCCTTTGTTAAGCTCACCCCC